TGCTCAGAATAGATTGAATAAAAATTGGTGTTTCTAGTGTGTTGGTACAGATATTACAGTTCTTCAGGAACACACTCAGTTTCTACATGTTAAAGTGGTTGATCGCAGACTTGCTAGACCTATTTGTTTAACGGCTGTTTATGCAGCATGTGAGGCTTCGACTATGAGGGACTTGTGGGCGAGTCTTCACCACATTTCCATCTCCATGGCCGACCCTTGGTTAGTTGGGGAAGACTTCAATGTTATTAATCACAATGGCGAACGTACAGGGCAGAGTAGGAGAGATCGTGGGTCTACTGCCTTTTCTGATATGATACTCGATTGTGGTCTGGAGGATGCTGGATTTTCTGGGTCCCAGTTCACCTGGACGAATGGGAAAGTCAGTAAAAGGATGGACAGAGTCCTGATTAATCCTATTGCTGCTGATTGCTGTAGACAATTTACTGTGACTCACCTTAAGCGGACTTCTTTCGATCAATCACCCCTTCTTCTCCATTGGACTTCTGAGGATGATTTAAGCCCGCGACCATTTCGTTTTCTCAATGTTTGGACAAAACATCATGAATTCTCAGCCTTTGTCTCTTAGAAATGGTCATTCCCTACCCATCTTACGGGGATGGCTGCTCTTTGGGAGAAAATCTTCAAGCTAAAATAAGGCTTAAGGAAGCTGAGGTGAGAGTTGATCATGCCAAGATTGACTTTGAGAGTGACCTAACTCCGGAACATAGAAATGCACTTCATCGTTCACAGGCTAAATTAAACCGAACCTTGGCCATTGAAGAGGATTTTTGGAAGCAAAAGGCTGGCTCTCGTTGGGTATGTGAGGGAGACCGCAACATACGACATTTCCACTCTATGGTCCAAGAAAGACGGATCAAGTCTCATATCAGGAATATCACGAAGGAGACAGGGGAAGTTCTATCTACCCCTACTGATATACAGAGATCGGCAATCTCGTTCTTTCAGGATTTACTTGCTGCACCTACACAGCCTTTGGACCCCATCCGTCCTAATATCATACCCAAAATATTGACGGAGGTTGATAATATGGAACTCAACCGCTTACCTTTGATCGACGAGGTGCGAGAGGCTATATTCAGTATTGATGCTGATAGTGTTGCTGGACCTGATGGATTTTCATCTTTATTCTATCAGCATTGTTGGGATATTATTAAAGATGATGTTTTTTATGCTGTCATCGATTTCTTTGAGGGAGGCCATTTGCCACGAGGTTTTTCTGCCACGTCTATTATTTTGCTCCCTAAGCGGGAGAATGCTTGTAAATGGACAGAATTCAGACCTATCAGCTTATGCACCGTCTTCAACAAACTTATCACTAAGCTGTTGAATACCAGATTGAGTTCATTACTGCCGCGTATCATCTCCCCCCCGCAGAGTGGTTTCGTTCCCGGTCGCCTCATTGGAGATAATGTTTTACTGACTCAGGAGCTTTTGCATACGTTGGATGATAGAGTGCGCGGAGGGAATACTATGCTGAAACTTGACATGGCCAAAGCATATGATCGTATGGATTGGGGATTCATCTACTCGATCCTTGCGGAGTTTGGTTTTGACCAGTTGTGGATTGACAGGATTAGAAGGTGTATCTCGGAATGTCGTTTCTCGGTCCTCTTGAATGGCCGTCCTTGTGGTTTCTTCTCATCCACACGTGGCCTCAGACAAGGGGATCCTATCTCCCCTTCCTTGTTCATTATAGCTGCTGACTACTTCTCTCGCCTGCTCATCCAGAAGTTCCAGGCCTATCCTAGTATGCAGTATCGACATGGAGGTATGTCTATTGTTTCACATCTTGCCTTTGCAGACGACATCATTATATTTGCCAATGGCCAGAAAAAGTCTATCAAAAGGGTTCTTGACTGTTTGGAACACTATGAGGGAGTTTCTGGACAACTGGTAAACCGGGATAAGAGTGGTCTTATTCTGCCTAGGCGATCATCGGATATTCAGATCCGCAGGCTCGTGATTCTAACTGGCTTTTCGCATCAGAGACAACCATTCACATACTTGGGAGTTCCGCTATTTAAAGGGGCCAAGAGGAGCTTTTTGTACGACGACCTCATTATGAAAGTCAGGAATAGGATTTCTGGATGGGCTTCACGTCTCCTATCTCCTGGTGGTAGGATTACTTTACTGAGATCTGTTTTATCGTCCCTACCATTGTACCTCTTCCAGATTATGCGACCTCCTAAGGTCGTCTTGAAAAAGCTGGAGAGCATTTTTGCGCGATTCCTATGGGATTCGAAGGACCATGCACGTAGATTACATTGGCGGAGTTGGAAGGAGATATGTCGGCCAACTGATGAGGGTGGTCTTGGCTTTAGACGATTACAGGATACGGTGGACACATTCTCTCTGAAATTATGGTGGCAGTTTAGGTCTCAAGGTTCGCTTTGGGCTCAGTTCTTACTGGGCAAATACTGTAAAGGGACACATCCATCACTTGCAACTGTTCCTCATTCAGCCTCCCCTGTTTGGAAGAGACTGAAAAGATTTGGACCACGTGCTGAGCCACATATTGCATGGGATCTCGGTTTTGGGCAGATTTTCTTTTGGCATGACTGCTGGATGGGCGAGGCTACATTGGCATCTGTCTTGCCTCATAGACAGCATACATCTGTTAAGGTGCAGGAATTTTTTGGAGAAACTGGATGGGATTTTGAGCGATTACTACAGATCCTCCCATCAGTTATGGCAGAACAGATTGCATCTATTCCCCTTTGCCTTGAAGCTTCGGATCGCATTTTTTGGAGGGCAACATCCGATGGTAGATTTACTACTAAATCAGCATGGCAGTTGATCCGTGCTAGCAAGCCAGCTCAGGATTCCTTTCGCTTATTATGGAACCCTGTCATTCCTCCCACCGTTTCTCTCTTCTGCTGGAGATTATGGCAGAACTTGATACCAGTGGATGTTATTATTCAGAGAAGGACTGGCATTCAATTGGCTTCTAAATGTCAGTGTTGCTCTGCGATCGAGACCATCACTCACATCTTTACTGACAGCAGCATTTCAGAGCATGTATGGCAGCATTTTGGGGATTTATTTCAAATCACCATGTGTCCAGGAGAAAGTGTTAGACAGAGATTCCTTCGTTGGAGGTACTCCGGACAGTTTACACGGAACGGGCATATTCGCATCATTATCCCTCTTTTGATTTTTTGGTTTATTTGGACCGAGAGAAATGATGCGAAGCACAGGAACATTAACATGAGTTCGAGGCGTATCATATGGAGGGTCTACCGTATGATTTCATTCATTCATACTGGTAGATTATTTCGACCGCTACATTGGCGGGATGATATACAGGTCGCTCCTCTTTTTGGTGTTTATTTGACCCTTCCTACATCTCCCCCTCCTATTATGGTCTGGTGGCGTACCCCATCTATTGGATCAGTCAAGATCAATACCGATGGCTGTGTCAAGGATGGGATTGCAAGTGGGGGAGGCATCATTAGGGACCACGCTGGGAACTGCATCAGCGCCTTCTCAGCATCGTATGGGCAGTGTTTGATCTTAGAAGCTGAACTGAGGGCTATTCGCGATGGTATTCTGCTAGCGAGAGATCTTGGACTATCGGACATTTGGGTTGAGGCAGACTCCAGTGTAGCTATTCACTGCATTCTTCGAGGTGGTGGTCCATGGAGCATACAGGGCATACTTCGCCAGATTGTAGACTTTCTTTCATTCGACAGAGATACGGTTTCCCATATCTTCAGAGAGGGGAATCAAGTGGCAGATGCACTTGCTACTGAGGGCTGGCACCATCGCAGATACCAGGTATATGGCCCTACTGAATTACCAAGGCACATTAGGGCCCTTCTTCAGATAGACAGGTATGGTTTACCAAGTTTCAGAGTTTAATTTTGTTATAGGTTACCTGCTTCTTTCTGTTACTGTTTTTATTGTTTCTGTTTACATTTCTTACTTTTGCTCAGCTTTTATGGTACTTAGTACTTCCTCGTTCACTATTTTTCGTAACTTCACGTGTAAGGGAAGTAGTACTTCCTTGTTTACTGCTTTACTTTATTTTTGTTATAAGGATAGTGGTAATTCCTCTTTTACTGTTTTAGATTACTCATTTTGTAAGGGAAGTAGTACTTCCTCGTTTATTGCTTCTTTCATTGTAAGGGAAGTAGTACTTCCTCTTTTACTGCTTTTCTTTACTTTTACTGTAAGGGAAGTAGTACTTCCTCATTTATTGCTTTGCTTTACTTCAGTTGTAACCACGGTATTCCTCCGCCACAAGTGAGGACATATTAATAAAACTCTCGGAGGTACCGCCCTCCTTCCATAAAAAAAAAAAAAAAAAAAACCCTAAACCCTAAACCCTAGACCCTAGACCCTAGACCCTGAACCCTGAACCCTGAACCCAGAACCCAAAACCCAAAACCCTAAACCCTAAACCCTAAACCAACAGATTGGTGCAGTTGCAGTTGAGACCAAAGCTATAAAATCAAAAAGAACTGTCAGAAAGGTTTCAGCTTCAGCCAATGTGGACAATAGTGCTCTAGCATCCACTCATTTAGATAAGCCCAAACGCAACCCAAAGAAAGTCGTGACTCATCAAACAGAACCAGTACAGGAACAACCACAAAATGAACTTGAGAGGATCAAACACAATTTGAGAAAGGTTTCCGCATCCGTAGAACTGACTTCTGAAAAGTTAGAAATGGAAACTGAAAAGTCAAACCCAAGTCTGGAAAAAGTGTGTAATTCTGCAGCTGCCGATATTTCTAAACAAGAGATTGTAAAATCTTCTGAAAACTCTGATTATTCTAGTGCTGTAGTTGATGAACCGGCATTGTCTGAAGCTCCTTTGCCAGTTACAGAAAATGTGCCACAATCTGATCATCCTGCTGTCCAGCCACATTCCCCAAAAAATGGTGCTGAGATAGAGATGCATCCAAGTATCATTGATGAGTTGGGGTCTAACGAAAAACAAACTGGCAAGGAGAATCAAAAAATCAGGAGGAGGAGATCTCTTCCCCCACAGCATGAGTTTCCTGAGAATGTCTCGCAGAACACCCCAAGCATGCCAAGTTATATGCAAGCAACTGAGTCTGCAAAAGCGAAACTTAGAGCACAAGGAGCTTCAAAGCTTAGTGAAGATGGGTCTGAAAGTGGTTCTGTCCGCCGTCATTCTCTACCAGCCTCAGCTAATGGAAAATTGAATTCATTGTCACCTCGGGTGCAGAGGCCAGTGCAAGGTGATGATAAGGGTGGAAGCAAAAATAACAAATCCTTGATGTCCTCTAAAGATGGTAAGTATAAGAATTATGTTACTTTGTTCAATTTAGTCAAGTACACATTTTCCAGTTTTCCATCATTTTTAGGTAATGGATCACGTTTTATCTGTCTACTTCATTAATTTTATCTCCTGTGGTATTAAAAATGTCTCGTTGCGTATCTATTTATTACTCGTAGTGGTGGAGGAATGCCAAGAGAATAAACTATTTGAAAAACATTTACTGTTTGAAACTGAACCGTTCTGATTTTCGTAGTTTTGGTTCCATGTGTCCCTGGTATGGTAGTTAATGAAATTTTCAGAACTGTCTTTTCTTCTTTGACATAGACTTGATTATTCACATCGATATTTTATTTGATTTTGGACAAAAGCTCTCTTTTTCATTCGATTTTGATATTAACTTGTACATTTACTGAATGAGTTTTTATTTGGAAACATGACATTTTAGACAAGGGGCTTCAGCCCGGATGAAGGAGATCAGTACTGCAATCTGCACATCTGGGTAATCTTGGGATGCAATGTGTGACCGTGTAGCTGCAGTTTAATTTGGTTCTTGTGAAGAGTATGCCATCAAGGCTGAAAGTGAACTTGGAAAGATCATGGTTATTTCAAATTATTTACATCTTTTACATGTTTTCCTTGAGTGCTTTGGGATTGTATAGTTGTCAAAGATTGTGTATAGATTTATTTAATCTGTGTTTTGTAGTTCATATGTGATTTCCTGCTGCAAGCAGCTTATCCATGATGTACCGTGTGAATGTTTGAATGTGGTAACGCTTTTTTGTCCTCCCTCCCTCAAGCGATCGTAAGACGTGATGTGAATCCCGGTTCGAGTGGAAATTAGAAGCAAACCCCTTTGTTCTATAAATTTCATACAGTTTATGAGATAGTTATGGATTATCTCTCCACAATCAGCCATCCGACTTCATTTTCGTCTGGTGTAATAATTTTGTTGTGCTTTCATTATTTTTTATGCTTTATGAAAGAATTGTACTGGTTAGGTATTTGGAAAAGAATTAAGTTATATGTACATTCTCTTTGACATTGTTGATCAAATTGATACCCTCAATGTTTCAGTATACCAGTTGCCTCGTTGAACACGGGCCGGGATCATTATTGTCTCCCTCATCTTCATTATCATTGTTGATACTGCATGATAATTTGGATTTGCATGATCATTTTGTTTATGCTGCATTTTTTTTTATCACTTCGTGTGAAATGGAAATAAAAATTCACGTCAAAATTGTCACAGTTGAGGTTAGTGGCCTTTTCTCATTGTCCGAGTAGAATAAATGTTCATCCACCTTGTTAGCACCTTCATGATCACCATCGCAGCATTCTCTTCACCATCACTATCAACACCACCACCACCCCATTTGCCTTCGCCGTCAACATCTATAGCTACATGGTCACTGTTAAAATAAATTGGTAAACAATTATATTTCGTTAATCAAAAATTCTTGCATACAAAGATGGTAAAATTGCGACTTACACGTGCAAAATATGTAATTAAACTTTCACTTACTCAAATCAAGATATGCGTCGACTTACTGATATGAAGAAACTAAAAAGAGATGAAATCAAACGGGGTATGCTAATTCAAATTTTCTTATGATGAATTTCACCTCCTACACTAGTGTTAATATGATCAAATTATTGTCTTCCAAAATACAATACTTTTTTCAAAATTAATATAGCACAATATTAACTTTGCTAGGTAAATCAATGCTTAATTATACTATTCTAGAATGAAATATATCGAATACTAAATATCTAACACGAAACTCCAAAATAATATGGAAATTATTTTGAAAGAATTTGAAAAATGAAAGAATTAGAAATCAATTATATAGAATTGATTTGGAGTTAAGAAAATGGGATTAGGAGAGTCATATTCACAACTCTTTGATATAAACTCTTTACAATTAAAGAATCATGACTAGTTATTGTCACGCATTTTCCACAATGTGAATTTATGCCGCAAGTGTACGGTGTCAAGTTTTGTCATATAATGATTTGAGTTAAGAGTGTCGAACCCACAGGGATTGTAATCCAATTTCTACCAAGTAATATAATTGTTTCAATTTTTATTTTATCTAGATGAACAAAATATCAATTCAAGAATTTTATCCTAAACTAATATGAATGTGTAATAATGCAAATAAAATGGAAACAATTTATAGGAGAATGTTAATGCAAGGAAGCTTAGGGATTGATTTCACCTTACTATCAATTACGAATCAATTATACCTAACTATTCTAATCAATTTTTCATGTTTGAAAGCAAGAATCTTAACGTATTTCTCTCCCCTCTCTCGTGTGCCGATTAGAAATTAATCTTATAATTCAATTTCAATATCTATATTCCGAATTAAAATCAAATATTTATCAAGTTCATGATTCTTTTATGGAGTAAGCTTCATAGATCCTATACTTTCTTTCGAAACCCATAAAATCTACGTTGTGTCAATCCTATGATCGTGCCTAAATTCCCCACTCTGGAGTGCTGGAATTGACTAGCATATATTCATTCAATTAATGGTCAATTAATTGAAAGCATTAATTTCATGACACAATCAAACATATATGAAAAATCAAATAGAATAATTATGACAAAATCAAATCATAATATCAAGTTTGGTTACATCAAACCCTAAATATGAAAATTAGTTCATAACTCCTAAAGATAATATAATAAAATTTGAATTAAAGAACATGGAGAAGAAAAGAATAAGAAAAACTCTTTTCTTCCTTACCGTCAAAACTCCCTTTTTAGGTTTTCAAAATGTGTATTTATAGTTCATTAAGGTTGCATCGGTTTGCCAATTGCAAGGTGAGGGTTGTGGGCTTCACATCTCCAAGACATAGCTTTTTGAACATTGATAGAGGCATCAAGTTAATGCTAACTCCAAGATCACCCAATGCATTGTCAAATGTGATGCCACCAATATTGTAAGGAATGTTGGATCTTTCAATTTCTGAGGGAGTTTCTTCTAGATAAAGGCACTGCACTCTTCTGTCAGCTTTACTTTCTCAAAATCCTCCAACTTTCTCTATTTTGACACCACTTCCTTTAAGAACTTGGCATAGTTAGGCATTTGGGTCAAGGCATCTGCAAAAGGAATGTTGGTGTGGATTTTCTTGAAGATCTCTAGGAACTTTGCAAATTGATCATCAATCTTCTTCTTCATGAATCTCTGTGGGAATTAAATTGATTTGTAACGTCATATCTTCCTATTAGAGAGTTGGGATGAAGGCATCTAATTGAGTTATAAGAATAAATAATTGACACCTCAAAATGGTGCTACAACTACCGCGTTATTCTTTAAGCGTAATCAAAAGCTATTTCCCAATTTTGGCAATCTAATAATCAATCCCTCATTTAGTCCAATAAAAGCTCATACTCATATGATTTTGAACAAAAGAATTATAACGATGCCCCTTTTATTCAAAATCAATGTTAATCACATATTCAAGTATCGATACTTTTCATTAAACTTTTAAGAGAGAAACTCTAACTCTCTATTGACGCAGCACCACCTCGAAGTTCACATAGGTGAAGTTCTTCCAGTATCTTTGTTACTTTTAGAGATACTTGTACTTAGTACTGAACTTCATTAAGATTTTAAAACTCATCCCTCACTTCGGTAACAACCAGTATTATTATAACTAGGATAGGGTTATCGCGAATATCAGCGCTAATCCTTTTTTCAATAAACTTTTAAGAGAGACACTCTAACTCTCTGTTGAGGCGGCACCACCTCGAAGTTTATTTAGGTGAAGTTCTTCCAGTATCTTTGTTACCTTAAAGATACTTATACCTTGTATTGAACTTCATGAAGAGTTTTATAACTCATCCCTCCAATCATAACAAACAACACTATTCCTCAAGTATAGGGTTTTAAATGAGTTAATAGTACTAAAACCTATCTACTTATCAAATGACTTGTTATTACCCTTTGAACCTAGATATACTTATTTATTATATTTCGGTAGGGTTGCTATCATTGGTGGATTTTTAATCAAGGAGTTTCAATCATATCCTTCTTGATGTTAGTATTACTAACACTCTTGTAAGAGGTTTAGTCAACGGAATAGATAAGTTCTCACTAGATTTAACATATATAAGAGAAGTTATTCCATACTTGATTAATTTTCTCACATACTCATGTCTTAGACTCATGTTTAGACTTTTCATTATATACTTCGTATGTATGCTCGTGCTAGAGTTTTGTCTATCACACAAAATAAGAATTAAAGAAATATCATTTGCACCTAAATGAATTTCATAAAGAAGATCCTTTATCCACTCAACTTCTTTTCCTATTTCGGACAATGCTACAAACTCCGACTCCATTGTCGAGTGTGTAATGCATGTTTGTTTCTTAGACTTCCAAGAAGCTACACCTCCTACAAGAGTAAACACCAACCTGTAGTAGACTTGTTTTCTCCCGCACTCAATATCCAACTAACGTGAGTATATACTTCTAGGATAGTCGAGAACTTTGTATATTTTAGTCAAAGTTTTTTAGTTTTCTTCAAGTAACCAAGAACCCTCACTATGGCCTTCCAATGGTTCGAACTTGGATTGCTAGTAAACCTACTTAGTTTATTCAAAGCAAATGCAATTTCTAGTCTTATACATTGTACCGTGTACACAAGACTTCCAATTGCACTTGCATGTTCAATTTTAGCTATTGCTCTTCCATCGTTCTTTATTAACTCAATACTTGGTTCAATGTGGTATTTGCCTCTTTATTTATCACATTCTCAATAAAATGTGATTGATTTAATGTATAACCCCCACTATCCTTTTTAACATTAATGTCAAGGATAGTATCCAGTTGTCCAACATCCTTCATTTTGAACGTAGAGGATAAAAACCTCTCCGTTTCTTCATTCCTTTCTATGTTATTGTTGATGATCAAAATATCATCCACATAAAGACGTATAAATATAATTATACTATTATTTTCTAGTAGAATAAACCCTTCAAATTATTCCATATAAACCTCCTTTTCGAGATCCTCATTTAGGAATGATGTCTTGGCATCCATTTGATGAACATGTAAATCATACACTGATGCTAATGCAAATAATATATTTATCAAGATTATCCTAGACACAAGAGAATATGTGTTAAAATAGTCAATTCCATACTTTTGTCGATATCCTTTAACTGGTAATCTAGTTTTATATGTATTGAGTGTTTCTTCGAAATTATATTTCCTTATAAATAGCCATTTACAACCAATGAATTTAGATAGTTTTGGTAAATCCAGTTTTTCAAGTGTTGTTTAATATACTAGAATCCATTTATCATTTATTGCATCTTTCCAAAATATGCAATCTCTAAAAGATATTGCTTCTTTATAAGTCTTAGGATCACTTTCAACTTAAAGAATAAAAAGAATTATTCTTACAATATGCTTCATATCTCTCCCCATTAAGTAGAGAGAAACAAGTTGGGA